GAGACATAATTATATGTTGTTTTTTGTTTATACCATATTGATACTAATATTGATCCTGTTACTTGTAGAACAATTGAAATATGATGACTGACCTGTTTGAATGCTCCATGTCATGTATCCTCAGTTTGGATGCAGAGATCTTAGAAATGAAATATGTCTACTTTCCTTTATATATATATCTGATATTGTATGAAAAGAGATATGTCACAAAGTTTTGATACATTTTAAAAATGACTAAGTACTTTCATACACTTTAGTTGTCCTGAAAAATATATAATTTCTTGCCCCACTACTGACAGATGTCTGCATCTGTTCTCTCCACTATGGTTCATGTATACACTATATGTAAACAGTTTCAAAGTGGTGGGCCTTTTTTGAACCCAAGAAATTCCAATTGCAAGTCAAAACACTGCAAAATAGATGGGCAAATAATTATATATATATAACTTTTTAAGAACTTTAAATTTATTGAAAAATTGTTACCCCCAATATTTCTTCACTGTGTAGTTAAGATAAATTGCCAACAGATGTCACATGGTGGCAGATGTGTGACTACATCTGTTAAAGCTCAAACTTTCAACACTTGGCACTAGTAGATTTCCCCTTTCAGGTGAATCTTAAAACTTGCACTGTGCTTCAGTCTTGTTTCTACTATATTTCACAGTATTTGGTGTTTGGGTGCCATCCCTTTTAACATGCTACATTGACTGGTGAAGGCACAGTATGTGGCTGTGCAAAGGACAACTTTGACTTGAGGCTTTCTTATTCAATATCCTCTGCTTTTATAAAAACCCTTTTTATGATTCTCTCTACTGTTTTATGATGCATGTGACTTAGTTTAATGCAAAGACTATATATAGACTGTTGAATACACTGATGCAGATAATGAGAAGTTCTTGAGGAAAGTGGTGTAAAGTACATTGAGTTTATGTGAGATTTGAAGTTTAATGACAGTGACTGTTGAAGATTATTGTCTTCTGGGATGTGATGCCGTATAGCCTGGTAGATGTTTACTGATGTTTCAGAGGAACACGCTGCCTCCATTTTCAGAATAGAAGAAACCACTTGTTTTTTTCCCATCTAATCCCTCTTCTCTACAGCCTTTCCTTTTATTCCACATTTTTTAAATCTCTTACTTTTTAATACTTGTCTTCACCTTATGAACTTTGTCTTATTTATGATTTGAGGTTCTCATAGCAGTGGTTTCTGAAAGGCTCTGTCTTCTGGGTTATATTGCTGTGTATTGCATTGGAAGTCAGCAAACATTTTGGAGAAATATGTCGCATCCATATTCAGGACTGAAGAATAAGCCAAGCAAGAGGCTGGCATGAAGCAAGTAGCAAGCAGTAGCACATTCTTCATCCCAGTATATGGAGGTGATGTGTTCCTCCAATTTGTTGGCTGACACTCTGTGACTTTACAGCATTATATCCTAGAAGATAGAACCCTTTATATAATTTACATTAATTTTATTATTTTTGGTTTCTCATATCCTCCTCCTCTTTCTTCTTTTTCATTCCCCCAACTTGCCTTCTGTATAATTATCGCTTCTTAATGCTGCCATTTTCTGTTGGTTTGCACACTTCCCTGCCTCTTCCCTGTATCCATACCACTTGTTTTCACCATTGTTGTCTTCTACCCTGAAGATAGAGGAGCGTATTCCTCCAAATTGTTGGTACCTATCTCATGTCAAATCCCATAAAACTGTAATTCACACTGAGCTCACATGAAGTAATGCTTATTTAATTATTGCATCAGACAGTTTTTACTGTTAATTAAATTTAGTTTCTATTAAATATCTGTAAGTTACTAAGACATTAGATGAATGCAGGGCTCAAAATTTAGGTATCATCCTATATGGATGCCTTTCTTTGCACTGTTTGGGTCTGAAGAGGTCGGTTATGAGTGCAGTAGTGAATATATGATCTTCCTGATACATTCAGTAGCGGGCTGTAACTGCTCAGTTCTGTTAACTTCAATTGACATAAAACAAAGTGTGTGTGTGTGTGTGTGAGTCAGCATACTGAACCCACTAGCCCAGTCAGTAAAACAAGATTAAAAACCTAAAGTTTCTGGACAGAAAATTATCATAACTGACTTTTATGTGATGTACTCCATTTTAGGAATGGAGATAAACAAAATGGTTGCTGCACATGATATTGAAGGATCTGAGTACAGCAATTTTATAGCTTAAAAACTAAGTGAAATTGCTTCAGGGTGGTGTCTGTGAAGACTAATGCTTCAGGGTAGAAGAGTCATGATCTCTGTTGCGATAAGACTCCATGTAGACTGGTAGAGTGTTATCAGTGTTTCAGAGGAACCTTCTTCCGTCATATGACACAATGTAATAGGCAGAGTGCTACCAACTTTTTTTCACTCCTTATTCACTGTCTCACATGCAAACTTGTGTTAAAATCTTAAAATTTACGTTTTTTAAATTTTAAAATTATTTTTCATATCAATGGTATACTACACATTTTGATGAATATGGCCATCATCAGGTCTTTAAAAAATTGCTGTCGTTCTGTTGATGAATACAATTTCAGAGTATATTATTTTTATCACGAGAGGCCAAAAACCATGTGGATGCAGATGATCTACCACACGCTGGAACCTTGAACTCCATAGGAGGAATTGATTTTGTATTCTCTATTATTTTATAATGTTATTTTAATATTTTTAATGTTTTTAATACTTTTAATATTTTTAGTTGTTGTAGTCATGTAATATCTAACTCTTTATTCACATTATAAAATCCATACATATTTGTAATATACAACACCGTTCAATAACCTCCACCAATATTTTAAATACAAATTTTTGTATGCTCTAATATTTCCAATATTTTTCTATATTATAATTTTCATGGTAACACAGCACAATTTTCTACACATTTTACAACTTTTATAATATAGATGTGTTGCACCACAATACGGATCCATATTGTGATTTAAATTAACTTTATTTTGTTTATTATATACACTGCCTGATGATGATCTCATGAGGACCGAAACATGTAGCGGTAAACAATAAAATTCAATCTGTGAGATACTGATTTTAATTGTGATACCATTTTTCTCTTGTGTTGACAGATACATTACCTATCCAAAGTATACCCTCGTTTATGCGCCCATATGTTGTTGTATATTTGTAGTGCTGAATGATTCCTCTTACACATTGTGTGCAGCCGTTTTCAGTTGCAATTTTCAAAGCATTTGATGATGACCATATCAGTCAAAGCATGCAAGTGAACCATTGATGTGAAAAATAATTTTAAAATTCAAGAAACATGAATTCTAAGATTTTAACACAAGTTTACATGTGAGATAGTGAATAGGAAGTGGAGATAAGTGATGTGCAACAGGATGCAGCAGTACAGCATTATGTTACACCCCCTCCCCAAAGATGAAAATGGCAGGTACCCCAGAAATGTTAGTAATATTCCATCATACTACACACTAACATTCCAGAAGGCAGTAATCTTCATTGTACAGTGCTACATCATGTTACATGAAGCAAAAAGATACGCAGATTTTTCTGTCATACAATATATATTCTCTTCCTGGTATTTACAAAATGAGTAATGTGTTTCAGCATAAATTTTCAATCTTCAGACCCTCAGTTATCCAAGCACATGCATAAACTCGATGTTGAGAGACACACCTCTGATATGTATATGGATGTTAGGCAAAATTATATGCATGTTACATGTATATGTCTTAATATGAAGTTTAAATATGTGAGAGACAGCTCAGAGCCTGATGATGGCAAATACAGGGGAACTTCCATTTAATGGCCCTTGATTTGAGATTTTTCCTCATTTAACTTTTGATTTCAGTGACCTCAAATCAATAATCTTGGTGTTCCTCCATTTATGACTTTCTTTGGTTTCGAGTTTACTTCCAGTGATCCAGGACAGTCCTTATGTGGAGGTCTCACTATATATGCTGAAATATGTCACCCACTTTGTAAGTACTGGGAAGATGATATGTGTTGTGTGACTGAAAAATTTGTACATCTCTAGTAAAATTCATGATCACCAACATGAGAACTTCATATGTTATGTTTGTTCACTTTTTTTGTCAAAGCATGCTGGACATCTGTGCAACAGTAAAGTGAATACAGTTGCCTGTAACATCTGTAAATATTGTTTTAGCACAAATTTGCATAAATTATTCAGTTTTGACATGCTTCTTACAAGTTCATAGAAATACAGCTACTTTTCTTTACATCAGGTCCTTCAGTTCTGTTACAGTCCTCCTATAAATGTAACAAAGTCATTTTAAGATTATCCTGAACAGTAATACATAGTTTCTGCTATTATCAGTCTCCTTATCAATCCAGCAGTTTGATTTTTCATTAATTTCAGTAATGGTAATCAGAAAATATATTATCTAAATATACTTTTTTTTATGTCGGTAATATTGGGATATCATTTCACTTTAAACTCAAAAATATTCTTTCAACATTTCAGTAAATGTTCATAGTAGTGAAAGAATTATTAAAAAAAAATTTTTAGGCATGAATAAAGTAAATAATTTGACTTATAAAAATTTTATGTGATGTACTGTTTCAAAGAAACTCTTCTGTAAATGAATTTGCTCTGGAAGAATATTTATAGGTTTTATACTACACCCCCAAGTTGTCTTTTACCATATGGACACAAATGTTCTATCTTGATTATTTTGATAACACTTTTACAGAAGTAATTGTACTTTCCCTCCTAGAAACTTGACTGAATGTGTGAGACACCTACACACATTTGATTTATGAGACAATTCACCAAATGAATTGATATATCTGTAATTGAGAATAAATGTACAAACTTTCGCAAAAATAAAAATTTTCCCTGCTTTGAAATTTTGAGCCCTGCATGTGGGGGTTAGATAAGTCTGGATACAATTACATCCTGAAATTTTTACTTGCAATAGTATTTCCCTCAAATTTGGCTTCTTCTATTTTCGTTCTATTGTTTCTTTTCTTGTGTATGTCTCATTCAGAGCCTCCTTTGAGCACTCTGTGCGCATAAGCCGGGCTGAACGTAGGCGCGCGGAGAAGTTGGTTGGTGGGGGAAGTCTGGGTCGGAGCTTCTCTCGCTCTTACGCGGGCGGTTTGGCCGGGGAGGGCGGCGCTATGATGCAGGCGGCGGCCCCCGTACAACAACTCGCGGGAAACGAGCAAGAGAAGGAACGCCGACGTGCTAGTCTCAGAGTAAGCCAACACATTCTTCACTTCTTCTTACAACACTTCCCCCCACCTCGCTACAGCTAACTGCCCTTCATCCTGCTTCCTCATAAGTCTGCTGCACTGGAAATATGCTTATTGTTGGCTTGTGTTGCTGCATGAACTTCCCAACACTTTACAGTCAGGTCGGAAGTAGCCATTATCAGTTCTGGCCAAATTAAGTCACATTATGTCCAAAATTTCTGTGCCAGATTTGCCAGATACTTTAAGAGAAACAGGTAACAAGTGTGCTTGTCACTTGAAAGGAAAATAAAAACAATAAAAATTATTTTTCAGAATTTGTTTCACCAAACACATTTAATTATTTACACTCAAGGAATGTAAGAAATAGAGTAAACTAATTGTGATGATTGAATATTTTCTCTAGGATATTTTGAAACCATTGGCAAGGTTTTTATTAAGTTCACAGTGAAATACATTTGGGTGAGAATGAACCAATGCGATGTTTTTAAATTCCTTGTCTTAACAGTACAAAATTATTATGTTTAATAATCATTTATGAGTGACTAAACCAAAGACCAGTGCCCTAATCTCTACCAGAGGAATGAATAAATGAATTTGTACAATTCATAAACACATTTTACTTACAACTTATACAACCTGCTCTGTCTAGAACCTGATAGTAATCAACTTGTGTATGCAAACACATAATATCAATTAATATGTCAATTACATTTTGAAGTTGAAATTTTCATGACTCAACAGAAGGTTCTTTTTGCAAGGATTTTACAACTAGAGGTATTTCCAGTGATGCAGTTTTTACCCTTGACATGCATAACCTGCTAGTAGTAATAGGGGCTTGGCCCTCTCTTCCTGAACACAGTTACAATAACATAACCATTAGAACTACCTGAAAACTCATTTTTGGAATCTGGTTTCACTATTTGCCATCTTGTATTTGACTACACAAACAATAAAACATGGTTATGAGACAAATATATAGACAGAGCATAACCCTGGACTCTGTTCGAGAATTGCCAGGTTGTTCCATAAAAATTGAATAGAAAGAAAGATGTGTCTTTGCCCAGGATACATAGCAGAAAGTGCTAAAAATCAAATATGTTACATGACAGTGTCATCTATAATGTATATATGACATGTATATATAATAGTAAACCAGCCTCAGGACATCAGCCACATCTGATCATGCAGGCATAGCAGAACCTGTCTCATTGGCTCAGCCAGTCCATTGGAAGGGAAAGGGTTAAATTTGAACCATATGGGTTGTCAGATTTGTTACATTTTCTTATGTTATTTATTGTAACTGTTGTAGTCTGTAGTAAATATTTTACCTTGCTAATTGATGCAGGCTTCTAAAAGCTTGGTTACATATGGAATAATTTCTACATATTGGAGTTGTAACTTGTTTTACTCCTCTAGCTGATACCTTGGAAGGAAAAAAGGGTGGAGATGGGTCTTCATAGCTACATAGGTACTCCAGTTTGTAACTATGTAGACACTATATTGGCAGAAAAATGAGGAGGAATGTCCAACAAATATTATTACAGTATAGGATGATGTATTAAGGCATTGCAAATAGCTTCCTCAAAACGAAACACTGTGGAACTACGTCGGCAGAATCTATTGGTTTCCATCCCATTTCCAGCTCTGCTCTTGGAAGAATTTCTCATCCAAATTACAACACAGTCACACAGATACCATCTTTTGAGATGATAGTCTGCATTCGTTCTTGTAGTTTTGTACTGTCAATCATTTACAGTACAGAGTGTACACTAAAATAATAGGTAACCTTTCTAATGAAGTAACACTACTGAGCAAGTCCTTGGAGATAGCCAGATAATCAAGAAATACTCTGGCTTTTAAGGAATTTGGGGTTCATGACTATGGTAACAGGTGTCTGTAACTCTTCCTGGGTGACAGTGCTAAGCCTCCCTAATATGAGGATCCCAAGGCCAAGGAGTAAGATGGTAGTCTTTATCAGAGCAGTAGCACTCTTGACTCATGTTCAGGTGGATCTTTGTTAGCATCACAGCCTGGTCACCGTCTATCCGGATTGAAGTTTTCCTCCCTCCAGGCAAATTCTGGGGTAGTACCCAATTCTCCCAAATTTTTATTAATTTGTCATTATGCCATTAATGTTATATAGTCTAGTTGTTGACAGCACTATAAAGTAAACCACCACACTGTTAGGCTTCTATGCTGGTGGTCTCAGGTTTGAGACTCATCAGATCCAGTGCTGTTTTCCTTGTTTGCTAACCTCAGCTGCCAGAATCAAAACATTTTGAATGCAGGGAATATATGGCCTTGAAGTGAAGTTCTGGAGCTGGAATTTCCCTGCACTGCCCCTCTTTTGGAGTAAATGGAATCCTACCATTTGGGCACATCATAAATTGATTGTTTCTCTCTTACCAGATGGACAGGAATGAGCAAAGTGACAAGAGGTGGATTACTTTACACAGAGTCTGATGATGTACCTAATTTTGGCATGCAGGGTTTAGCCAGCCCATGTGTTGAAGCAGTTCTGATACTTCAGCTTGCATTGCGGTTCTTGTCTTCAGACTCTTCCAAAAGATGGCTACTATAGTGATGTGTGCCAGATAGTGTAAACACACAACAAATCTAAGCTTTGAAAAGTAAAATTTGACATTACTCAGGCCACAAAAACCTAGGCATAGAATTATACACAACATATTTTCTTTCAAAATCTGATGCATAAAAGCATCTTGGGAGATCTAGGCATAGAGGGAAGAGTAATACGAGTATTAAAAATTACTTTAAAGGAATAGGTGTGAACTGGATTCATCTGGCTGAGAACTGGAACCAGTGGTGGTTTTTATGAAAATGCTAATGAACCTTCAGGTTTCATAAAGGGTATGGAATTTCTATACTCGCCAAGGGACTGTTAGCTGTTCAAAAGGAAATCCAGTGAATAGAGTTAGTTTTTATTTTTTATTCTTTGACTTTGGAAGATTACAATTCATCTAAATAGTATTTAATGTTTCAGTTCCTACCTCATGGAACAAACTGCATCCCCATTACAAAGCCCAATTGATGGATGCTGTTTGGTAAAATAATCAGTTTATTGTGAGAATCACATAAGACACACACTATTGGGCAGAATTTAGAGTTTTTACAAAGCAAAGTATGTGGTACATAGAGTAGACACTGTGCTTTTAAGGGTTGATGGCATGGTGATAAAAGCGAATGAACATAATTGTCAAATGAGAACCATGCTTTTGGAAGCTTGTGGTAGTTGTAGCAGCTTTATCCACATGACCAAGGCCACCCTCAAGAAGACGTGTGTTGGACAAATGATGTGACTACATTGAATTGTGATGATTTCATAGGATAAATCCTTATGGATTATCTGTGTCCTGTAGCCAAGTAATATTTGATAGTTCACATCATAGTCTTTTGGAGCTGTGATGCCATGTAGTGTTGTAGGTGGATACCAACGTTTTGGAGGAATGTGTTGTCCCCATTAAAGGGTCAAAGTCTTCACTCATTTTGACACTAAAAATTGAGGCAGCATGTGTTTCCAAAAGGTTGTTCTAAACAGTGTCACAGCCCAGAAGAGCATAATGTGAAGGTCTGCAGTTGTGAAAGCCAGAAATAAGTTGCATGAGGTGACAAATATCTTGAAGCGAGATTGTATTCCTTATACTTAACATGGGTTGTCCTACAGTTCCGTTGGACTGAGGAAGTTAAACCCATGCTAAGGTGCCTGCTTGTCCAGGACAATTTTTAGCTTCTTGCTTTTCTTTCCAGGTAAATATCAGGATAATATATTAAAATAGGCCACAACTGCTCCCTATACCATCCTTTTCATTTCACCATAATCATCCTTCGCACACATTTAATGCAGAGACCCAGGATAGCTCAGTTGGTATGGTGACTAGACAGTGGTTTGGAAGAGTGAGAAATCTGGGTTTGATTTCAGGCAGGAGTAGAGATTTTTCTTTTCTTCACACCATCCATACCAGCTCTGGCGCCCACCCAGTCTTCTGTACAATATATGCTGGGAAGTCCTTACTGAGGGTGTTAAACCGACCACTGATCTCCATCTTAGTGCTGAGGTTAAGACTACATGGAGCTGTACCTCCATTTTTCAATAAGTACTCATACAGGAACAACTTTGCTTGATAGAGAACTCTCCCATTCCTCTTTCATAGTCCTACATATTGTCACATGTATTAGTGATTTTAGACACGTGTTTGGCTCAGCGAGTCAATTTATTGGATGTTCACCAGGTGGAACTACAATTAATTGTATCACTTTCAATCTTACTATAACACTTCATAACTATGAATAATGGTGACACTCTCAGGGTAACTGTAGATACCCCACATAAACTAAAGGCTTTACTTCTGACTTCTGATTTCTTCTTCTGACTTTTATGCCTGACTTCTGGTTATCACCTCTCCCTCTGACTTCTGTGCCTGACAACCCTTCAGCTGCCCAAATATGTGACACCGTCCTCAGCAGTAAATCTTATCGTGTCCCTCTGTTGCTGTGCTTTGACCAGTTAGTAGCCTTGGATATCAGCTTTCAACAGCTAAACAACAGGGTGTATCCAACACCCTAGTAACTGAAACCATTGTACTGGAAATATGCTCTGTCAATAGCCATTGCCTAGGAAATCAGCTTCTCATCTGAGTCCACTATTCCGGCTTTCAGGTGTTACATCACATTTCTTCTCCTGAAGGCTCCTTGTCTCTAACAGCCTGACAGTATTACTGTTCCTTCTTTCCCAAGGGTTCTGCTCATGACATCTTTTTGTGGCTCAGTGTTTTCCTCTTGTTTTTTTCTAGCAGTGACCACTCTCCAACCACTACCATCCCTCCCTCCTTAAGAGCGCTCCTCTTGAGCAGCACCCTGCTAAGGTTTGGTCAATCCAGGTTCATCATCTTCATCCAAAGTTGTTTTTCACTCTCTCTAGCAGTGGATTCAAAACTATCCAACATGGCCGTTACGTCTACATTACTGGCTCCTGCTCTATGTGCAGT